CCCCAAAACCCCAAAACCCCAAAACCCCAAAACCCCAGATAAGAGAGGATTTGTTGAAGATAATTGTTAAAAATAATTTTATATTTGGAAGAAAGTCTTGTGAAGATGAACTGATGTCTTTCTAAATTTAGTCATGTTATTAATATCTTGCTTTATTGCGGGAATTATTATGAGGTTATGCAATTTTATCCATATCTTAATAGTCATACCTACAAGACGTGGACTATTAATAAGGTTGCTTTTGTGAATGCTCTTTTAAGGCAAAGGAAAGTTCTTAAGAACTACACGTAACCCAGAAACAATAATTATATAGTGAGTTCAATTCAGAGTTTGCAAACTATCTCCTTGAGCATGGCAGATACTTGATTTACGAAATTGACTGATACCTTGGCTCTCACAGATCAGCAAAAACATTCTTAAAATTAATCAAGCATCTTAAAGAACTCGGAGAAATAGATAGCAATCAGGGAATCAAGTTCCTGAGACTTAAGAACCTTGACATACAGTATTCTGACAAACTATGTAATATTAATATGATAAATAAAATTTATCAAGAACTTCCTGACTCCTGCAATAAAACAGAATCCTTCTGGATCAATGCACAGGAGAGAAACTTCGATGATCAAGGATTTGTACCCATTGAATTTGATATTCTGAGAGAATTTAAAACTAACCAGATTAAAATCGATCGAGATATTCTCCCTTATTTCACAAAATATGGCAATAAGAAATGAATTAATCCCTCTGAAAGTAGAAGGATCAAGAGGTTAAAATTTAAGTGGATTAAAAATGAAGAATTCTTTGATCAAGTTGAAAATACACCTGAGGTTGAAGAGTTAGTGATTGAGTATCAAACTTTCTACTCTGAGTTCTTTGACGGCTTTGCTTCCACTCAAATACTGAAACAATCAGTCAAAAAGCTTACTTTAACTTCAAAACAATTTCAGCAAATACATAATGATTCTAAATTTTTGCCATTCGATGTTATTAAAGGAAATCAATTCATTAAAGAAGGATTCCCAAACTTAGAACACATTGAGTTCAACATAATAAATAATCAATGGTTCTTCAAAGAGGACTTCGTGAAACATGCTTTGAATGAAAACCAATCAATCAGATATCTAAAAGACAATGATGGGCTATGCAGCTGTACAACTCATTATTCTGATATCATCACAATCAAGGCTCATGATATCTACATTTATGCAGCCTGAGATGAACACATTAAGATGTTTAAAGTTAAAGAATTTGCTTGAGGAAGGCTCAGTAAGTGCACAACTCTAAAATTTTATAGAAGGAAACATGTCTCAGCATATTTTTTATCATAGAATCGACTATCAAAAACTAGATGAGGACTATCTTGCAATTCCTGCTTTACAATGATCAAACTTCATTGAGATTTCTGAAGTTCAAACTTTTTCTATCAAAGAAATTAGAAAATACCTTACCAAGAGAAGATACAAAGTTACTAAGTATCCTTTCTTCAAGAAGATCAAAAAGCATTCGAAGTTCTTGGAGCATGTTGAACTAATGATGAATTACCCGGACCACATCATAATAGAAAACAAGAATATTGGCTATGTTTGTGGCGATAATTATAGCCCAATTGTATTTCTATCTATTTTATCTAATCAACATAAGGTAAATTCTGACGAAATTTTAAATTTTTTCTTGTGAGAATATAGAATTTTTTACATATTTAATGGTCAGAACTGGCCAATTATATCACTGAATTTAATGTGAATCTTTAGATCAGAAATGACTGGGTTTTTGAAAACTGTAACCTCTCTGGATGTAAGACAATAGATCTTTGCTACAATGATGTTCTTGACTCTAAGACATTCAAGAAAATAATTAGCAATTTCAAGTCGTGTCCACTAAGTGTCGAGCTAAATATTCATATTTACACAGTTTTCTCTGGAATATCTAAAGAACAAAAGAATCAGTTGGTTGAACTCCTCTCTCTCAAGCCTGCATGTGTATTCCTTAATCAATTACCAGGGCTTGACTCAGATATGATAGAACTTCTGAGCTCGATCCCTGTAAGAGGTCTTGAAGGAGTAAATTCTGCTGAAAATAGGTATTCTTTTAATGCCTGGAAACCAACCCTAATCTCAAAGAAGAAGTTACTAAAGTTTGCAAAGTCTTCATTTATCCAAAAGAAAGATTTTAGGAGTCAGCTAGAGTTAAAATGGAACTAAGGAGTGTTGTTTCAACCATTTTTATTTCATGGGGTTTTGGGGTTTTGGGGTTTTGGGGTTTTGGGG